TATGAAGTGGTATATAAGTCTACTGTTATTGCTATTATTGCTATTATTATTTCAGACAAATGGCTGTCCAATCTCTTCTTTAAAAAAAAGCACCCACAACTTCTGGAAGCAAGCCATTCCACTGATTAATTGTTCTCACCATCAGAAAATGTCTCCCTAATACTAGGCAGGATTTCTCTTTAATAACCTTTCACCTGTTACTAATTCTCCTGCTTTCAGGTAGTTGGAGAATTGGTCAACCCCCTCTTCTCTGTGACAGCCCCTCAAGTATTGGATATCATGTCATCCCTAATATTTCTCTTTGCTAGTCTAGACATACCTAGTTCTTCCATACTCTTTTTCCTTTTCATGAGGCAGTTGAAAAATTGGCTGAAAATTTCAATGAAATAATAGGATAAACCAGTGGTGAAATTCATTTTTTTTTTACTACTGGTTCTGTGGACATGGCTTGGTGGGCGTGGCAAGGGAAGGATACTGCAAAGTTCCACCCCCCACTCCTGGGGGAAGGATATTGCAAAATTTATATTCCCACCCCCCTTTGGGGCCATCCAGAGGTGGTATTTGCCAGTTCTCTGAACTACTCAAAATTTCTGCTACCGGTTCTCCAGAACCTGTCAGCACCTGTTGAATTTTACCCCTGGGATAAACCCTTTAATATGTGACTCTGCTTTGGAACTTCTTTCAATATTAAAATAGAGACTTACATATAGAATGAATCAGATGAGATGACCTTCACAATCCTGTGATTCTTTATTCAAGACTGTAATGAACAAACATTTGCTACCTGAGACTATGTTTTCAATTCAATTCAGATTCACAATTTCTGAAATCAAATAAGACAGAGACCCAAAGTTGTATTTTAACAGGATCCTATTCAAGTAGATTGCTCCAGTGCTTTGATATTGTATCTTATCAAATGTTGGCTTTTTTCTGTTAATGAAGATTACATTAACAAAAAAAGGAGAAAGAATTATATTGTACCTGAAAGCATAAAAAGAACTTTCATAATATCCAAAACATTTTGGACTTTGCATGGAATGATATATTATCTATATGGTTATCTTGATATATTTTATGCTTGTACTAAATTCAAGATGCTGAGAACATAAGTTAATAAATAATTCACAGAGATAATCCTTTATGAAAGGATTGTTTTGTGTCTGTGTGTGTGTCTGTGTGTAGGACATTATTAACCAAGGATACTAACAATATCAATAAACCTGTCAAAATATGCAATTTTACTAATAAAATTGTTTGGAAAAAAATTATGGCTTATCCATAACTTAATACAAGTAATCCCTGGGTTATGAGCATTCCCTTAGCGAAGGTTCAAAGTTACATGATCAGCGCCCCCTAGTGTTTCCGAATGAGACCCGAAACTACAAATCTTGCAGTACCATAGCAGTTGTTCGCCCTTACAAACAACTACAAAGGGTCTGCAACATTCATCCGGCATGTTGCCGTCCGAAATGGAGCTTCTGAGTGGCTTATCCACCACTCAGAAGATCTGATTGGCCATTCAGAGGCCTCCTCTGGCCCGTTGCAGGCCGAAGTGGAGCCTCTGGGGTGCTAGATAGAGCCAGTGGTTGGAATCAAATAATTTAACAACCGGTTCTCAGCCCTAATGATTTCTTGCAACAACCAGTTTACCAAACTGCTCAGAAACTTAACAACCGATTCTCCCAAAGTGGTGAGAACTGGCTGAATCCCACCACTGGATACGGCCCTCTGAGGCTCTGTTCAGCCTTCTATGGGCTTCCCCCGGCCTGTTCGTCACTCCGACAAATCCTCAGGTTACAAATAGAATGGGCAGGTTCCATTCCATTTGTAATTCAAAGAATACCTGTAACTCCACTTAATAGCAATAGCACTTAAGAGTTATACACTGCTTCATAGTGCTTTACAGCACACTCATAGTGCCTTATAGCACTCTCTAAGCAGTTTACAGAGCCAGCATATTGCCCCCAACAATCTGGGTCCTCATTTTACTGATCTCAGAAAGATGGAAGACTGAGTCAACCTTGAGCCAGTGGGAAATCAAACTGCTAAACTACTGACAGTCGGCAGTCAGCAAAAGTAGCCTGCAATACCACATTTCAAATCATATCAGGAAGGTTAGCTTTTAGAAGAGAAGTAACTGAAGAAATACAGTATCAAGATGGAATTTCTCTGGTAATATCTTCTATATTGTTTTACAGCTTCGCATTTATGCCCAACCACTCCAGCTAAAAACAGCCAGCTATGCAGCAGACGTAACCAAAGTTGTATTTGATTACTTTGAAGACTATTTCAGCATGAACTATTCGCTTCCAAAACTGGGTAAATGTCTGTTTTTTCATTTTTAATGAATGTTAAAATTTTGTTTTTAGTTTATATGTTCTCTGAAAATTGTATCTAAGATTAAGTTGAAATAATTGGCTTTTTGTTGTTCACAGTTGTGTTTTATAGGCATATAATTATTGGTCCACAGCAACAAGTATAATCTACTCAGGTTGGCAACAGATTTCTCTTTTCAAGCAGTTTTAATCTTATTTCTCAACTAGGGGGAAAGTACATCAAGCTGAACAAAGTGCAAATAGTGGAAACAATTTTAAAACAGAATCTTTATCTCAGCATAGGCTCAAAGGACCACAGAATATATACACAAACCATATACATTACATTAAACTACATATTTGGCTTCCAAGCAATGTGTAGTCAATCGCTGTTGACTCTTCTGCCTTAACTTGGGTATTTTCTGGGTGTGGATCATACATATTGTATATCATTGCCATGTTTTGGGAAACAATTTAACATTGTAGTGCCAACAAGTAATTGAGAAAGATTAACATATCTCAATTGAATTGGATAGAATCCACTTTAAGCAAGTATTTTATGCATTTATACACCTATTTTTATTTATAATTTTGTGACCACTCAATAAAGCACACTTTAGAAGTACTTTCAGTAAATAAAATGGTTACTGTGAGGATGAAATAAGTGTTATCAAATTCTGAGTTAACTGTGATAGATATAAGTATAAAGGAAGTAGAAATTTATATTAGCTACCAGTCAGTGGTGGGTTCCTACTGGTTCAAACTGGTTCGGCTGAACCGGTAATAGCTTGGCGGCCTGGGTTGCTGGAATTGGCAGTGACCCAGGCCTGCAACGCCCCTGAACCAGTTCTCCCGGTAGTGCCATAGGCGCCGCCATCTTGTTTTTTGCTTCTGCACATGCGCAAAATAGTTTTAGCTATACTGTGCATGCATGCGTCCCTGAACAAACCGGCAGTAGTCTCTGCTGGAACCCACCACTGCTACCAGTAAAGAAACGCGTGTTGAAAAAAATAAAGAAAGAAGATATGGGGATTTCAAGCTTTTTGGATCCAAAATTCTTGCATGAAGCTTCTCCATCTGAGAAACAAATTGACTTCTAAGCTGGTGGCAATATTGTAGGCCCTCCTCCAAGAATTGTTCTCTTTTTTTAATTTAAAGTTTTTATTTTTTAAACAAACATAGACAAACAAGACATGTAACATAAAAAACATCCTCCATTGCGTACAGTGTATTGATTTGTTACAAGGTTTTTGTGCATCCTTTCCATAGCCATCACTTAAATTTTATATAAAGTCACATATTGTCAATCAAATATATTTATATACATTATTATTATGAGCCGAGGTGGCGCAGTGGGTAGAGTGCAGTACTGTATGCCACTTCAGCTGACTGCTATCTGCAGTTCGGTGGTTCAAATCTCACCGGCTCAAGGTTGACTCAGCCTTCCATCCTTCCGAAGTGGGTAAAATGA